ACTGAGCCTTTGTATCCAAAAGAAGTTTGTTCGACCACTTTCATTACCGTGGCCGTCAACATGATGTAACTTCTGGGTTTACTTTGTACAGTTCCGATTCTTCTTTTTTCTATCGATATTCATTTGTTTTCTTATTAATATGTAATCGCTTATTGTGAATAACTGAACACTCATCAAAAGTTACTCCTTTTTCTTAAAGAATAGCTTGCTTCATATTTCCAATTTTAGTAACCCCACTGATTGTTATCATTATTTCTGAAAACATCAGCATGTAATTGGTAATTCGATTAAATTGTAAACCAATAAATTAGTGTAGAGCCCAAGATGAAGACCTAATTGAAAAGGAATATATTTCTTCTCTCAATCAGTCTTTTTTTCTGAATGTTTAAGTCAATGTTTATTTTTAACAGAAATATATTTTGATCAATCTATTTTCACGTACTTTGGAAATTCTGACGAAATGATTAACCTTGAAGTGATAGTGAGATGGCGTATGCGCTTATGTCCAGTTTAAAATAAAACTAAACAAATTTTTGAGGGAGTTGTGGAGATTTGGAAATATTTCAAGTTGTTATTCATCGAAGACTGACATCAGTTGGAGGAACAAAGGAAACCTGGGTGCGCACTGCTGAGGAGTCCCATACTAGGACGAAACGGCTATCCAGTGCTCCCAGGTTTCCTTTGTTCCTTCAACTGATGTCAGTCTTCGGTGAATAACAACTTGAAAAACTAAACAAAGTATATAAAGTAATTAATGGTTATCTTGGATTTATTATAATAGGAATTTATCAACTATCTATAGGTTAAAATAGCATACAGAAGTAAGGTGATGCTTTTTCTAAGGTAGGATTGTATTAAGACTCCACTTTAATAAATGTTATATTCTGATTATATCAGTCGGATGATAAGCAATTTAGAAAAATGAGCTTTGGTGAAATCATTTGCTTGTTTATCATTTTGAAGAACTGTTAGTTGTTCACATTGTGTCGTTTAGTCCATACTTTAAGCTGTTTTACTTAATGGCAATGAGACTTTTTGACATATATATTCATTTAAATGAATGTATATTTTTTTTTCCTGATTATTTTGAAGCAGAATTGATGATAAGTACAAGTGATACTGAGTGATGATTGTAAGTGAAATGAAAACCTGGGCAGTGGTAAGATTCGAACCAGTTACATTAGTGTCAGAATTTTTGTTTCACCTTCAATTATCACTTGGTATGAATAATACCACTCTGCTGAACTACGGTTATATAAGATAGCCAAATTGATAGGTACAAGTGAGTTAAGCAGTATTAATTTTATGGGATATGTAATAATTATATGTCTATTTTAGCTGAGTCATAGATTACATCATGCTTTTCGGGTATGTAAAATAACTAGGAATAATCCTGACTCTTCCTTCCACTTTCTATGAGGATTCCTTTTGTTTTATTTTCAGCCGAATAATATTCTTTTTTCCCCTAACCTGTGACAACATTTGTCTTGTTAACACATGTTTTCACATTTTTCTAAAGGAATCTGTTAGACAGCTGCTAATGAGCGTGCATTTTCAAAAGTTGTGTCTATTGTATTCACTTTTTATAAGATAGATTAATTTTGTAGTTATAAAGATTTATGACTCAATCGTGCTCATCATTATTAACTCAGCAAAAGCTGTGGTACTTCTTTAGCTTCTCTAACAGATTGATTTCTAGATTTTAAAGACTTTAGAGACGAGTTGTTTTTAGTATGTTTTCCTTACGAAATAAACAGTCTCGTATTCTTTCTACACCATGTTATGCTTCATCGTCATATACTATTCTGACACTGTGTTTAACAAATTTATTCTCAATTGTGTTATACTTGTGAGCAGGTAAATCAACATATAAGTATCCTAAGGTGGAAAATGACAGTCAGCCAGTAGTATATACACTGTCAATCAGTCGATCTCCCTGCTGATTATACCTAGAGTATGCCACTTATATTTAATATGCTTGGTACGTTTTCTTTTTGAAAAAATAAACCGTTCTCTGTTCATGTGGTTATGATTTTCGGTTAATGTTAGTTGTAACTAGTAGGAAGATAATTTGTAAATCCTGAAAATTGAACTTTGGGATACAATATTTTGCACATCTTTTATTATTTTGATCAGACTTTACAGGTAACTTGGGGTATCGGACACTACGCTGTTAGTTGTATGTACTGACGAAAGCTAGGTATTTCACTTAAAATAATAAATTACACATTACAGAAAAATTTCCTTGAAAATTATATCTGTTAATTCAAATTATTTCTCCTAGTTACCCCAATTTCAACACAACAAAAACTAACAATGTTTCCAGCTGGCAATCACCCATTTGTCCAGAAGCTGTTGTACAAATGAGAACAGTCAGAATACAGGAAACTGAAAACAGTGAAAAATAATCTCAGGTTATGTGATATTTAGGACGGCGTTTTACCTACTATGGATCTTGGCTGAAAATGTTAATACTTGGGAAATAGGTAAACAAATATCAGTCTTACCACTGACAAATTAACATTTCACATTTCCTATTTAAGGATTTATTCTCTTGAACTGGTAGCATCTCATAAAAATGTATTCCTTTAGTAGTTAACACTCTTACCTCGACAGCCACGGGAATTCATCAATTTATGAATTTTTTTCGGAAAGGTTTCAGAATACTCCGGTTAATACACGCCGATAATTCCTTCGATTTACCAACTTGTCTGAGGTTTAATAGACTTGTAGCTTTGATTCTGGTTGAGGATTGAAGGCAAAATGAAAATCTGAGGCTTGGCAGGATATGAGCTAACGTCCCCTTGGTTACTGGCATGATGGCCTACCGGATGATTGATTTGCGACTTAACATATCTGTTCTCTTGTGCCGTAGAAAGTTTATTTAGCCCAATATCATTCAGAAGTATGGCTGTCCCTTATTTTTCGAGCTATAATGTTAGTTTGTGTACACCTCATCATAAGGTTAGCTAAATTTATCAGCACTTTATACATACACGAGTATTTGTTGTGTCTCTTGGTTTCCAAAAATTCTATTACAAATCGGTAAAGGAGTAAGCATTAGCTATTTGGGAACTTTCGCTCATACGCTTCTTATTTCTAAACTGACTGAGAAACATAAATTACCAAGCTAAATGAATAAAGTCTTACTTGCAATGTTCAAAAGTTAAATTCTCTGTGAAGGCACTGAAATTCATTATTCTTTCAGGGGAAAACAATAGAAATATGTAAATTTAATGGTTTTTGAACCAAGCAATCTAAATTTAGCTGCATTTAGAACATTTCAAATTCGTCTCATGATGAATGCAATTAGATCCTGATACCATAGACGTAGGCTCGCCGTCCAAAACAAGCATATATTTTTTGATATTAATCTACCAATTTGAAACAATTTAGTTTCTTCAAACCTTTAGTTAAATCATTGTGAATTACTCTCTGATGAGTTGTTTTTAGTTTAAGTCCCCATAGTAGTACTGAGGAGTTATGACCTAAGATATTAACCAAGTTGAGTAGAAGGACAAAATCTGATTGACAATATTTGTTTAGGGTCGTGTGTTTAGAAATTATGGACCCTTGAGATCTAAACGTATCGGTTAAATACAAAAGTGTTAACCGTCAGACCTAATGGATTCAAATTTTACCTTCAGTGTGTGTGTACGCTCTCATAGTCGAGGACACCTAAACTGGGATAAAGTTTTCATTCAGTGCTCAAATGTTATTTCCGTAGTTTTTCAAATAGTATTAGTCCATAATAAATTATTATTATTATTATTAGTTTCTTGGGTTCCTAATGGAACATAGGGCTTCAGTAGCACGTCTCCAGTGACCTCTGTTCTCTGAAACCTTTTGAACCTGGTTCCACGACAGCCCACAAGCTCTCATTTCCTCCTCGCACCATCTCCTCCATGTCACCCTCGGACGTCCAACTCGTCGCTTCCCATGGGGATTCCACTCGAGGGCCTGACGCGTGATGTCCCCAGTCAGCCTTCTCAGTGTATGCTGACTCCAATCCATCTCCACTTCCTTCTGCATATTTGTTCAGCGATAGATTCTTGCCTCGTTGGTTCGTTCCTAGAGCTCCTTGTTGCTTATTCTTACTATTCTGGCAATCCATCTGATCTTCAGTAGCGAGACAGCGTAAGCAGTTGTTGGTGAATGTCTGTAGTTTATTGGAAATCCCTTCGTAACGCACCAAGTCTCTGAGCCATACAGAGGCACTGACTTGACGTTGGTGTTGAAAATCTGGATCTTGTTCCACATGCTGAGTGCAGAAGATCTCCACACTGGTTTCAGGCCAATGAACGCCTGTCTTGCTTTTCCGATCCTGGCTGACTTTGACACCCTCGTCTGTGCCGCCACCGCCTGTAGTTGAAACAGTGCTTCCTAGATAAGTGAAGGAGGTTACTTCCTTTAATTTTCTCCCGTTGATGGTGACTGGAGTTTGTTGTTGTTGTTGGAGTTGTTGGTGTGGTATCTTTATCACTTCTGTCTTCTCTATATTCACCTGAAGTCCCGTCTTCGCTGCCCTGCCTCTTCTGACAACTATTTAGTTTTCGCCTGCAGATCTTCAAGTTTATGTGACATCAGGCACAAGTCATCACTGGCGAAGTCTAGATCTTCTAGGTTCTTTTCCACAGTCCAGCCAGCGTATCCCCCTCTTCTCGCTCCCCACTGTTTGTTGCATGATCCAGTTGACCACAATCAGGAATATCACGAGGGATAGTAGGCAACCTTGTTTCACTCCTGTCTTCACTTCAAAAGCATCACTGAGCTTCCCATTGTGAATTACTTGGCATGTGGCATCTTCATATAGTTGTTGAATGAGGCGGATAAGGGTTTGCGGTACTCCGTAGTAATGAAGCAGTTTCCAAATTACTTGTCGGTCGACGCTGCCAAAGGCCTTCTCAAAGTCGATAAAGTTGAGGTCCATAATAAATACTGTCTTCTAATAAGACGAATTGACCACCATAAACCAGCAATTAAATTGTCATAAACGTTTTGCAAAGTATTCAATTTTAATTTAAAGGATAAGTTTCATGTTGCAACTTCACAATTCATATTTTATACAGGTCTTCGAAAAATACATATACTTTTTGTAAATGAATGTTTATTAAATTCTGAAAACTAACAAAGTATATATTTGTGACCAGCATTTTTTAAAAACTTCAATAGAATTCTGCTTTGAAGAACTTCAAATTATTCTTTAACAGAATTACTGTTTTATCTCTGACTTGATATGATCACTGAAGAAAATGATGGGCTTACGACTAAGTGTATATAAGCAATGTATAATCATAAACCATTGGTAGAAACAAAATGTCTAAGTTTTATTTGCTACATGGCCTAATGAAAACCATTATCTGATGGGCAACTTTCATTTGAACGTGATCCTTGTTAACAGAGTAGAAATCTTGCTTAAACAGTTGAATTTTATTCTTGAGATAAATTTCTTTTTAAACAGTAAATAAATAAAATAAAATACTTTTAATTTTAGTTATACACAAAGATGAGTATATATGTGTGTTTCAGGAACAGCTTAAATGAACAATGAACACAATAGAGTTTTGAATTTGTTAAAATTAACTACTTGACTAAATTATTGCCTAGCTCATAATTTTTATCTAATTCAAATATAACAGTTTTATCAGAAAACGGTGAAGATTTTAGTTTTGTTTTAAGGTTTGGTGAATTCATATGTAAATTTTTGTTGTTTGAATCAGTAATTGGGGTTGTGTACATAAATCAAATGAGTTCAAATAGTCCAATGTTGCGTTATAACAAAAACGATATTGTTCTTCAGTTTGAACCATCCAAACACGTTGTTGTCTAAGCAACTTGACTGTTTGGTACATATCAACAACCGACTCTTGACGAAGTCTTTCTAATACATTGCACATAGCTATGAATAATCCTGTTCGGCCAGCACCAGAGCTGGAAAAGAAAAGAAAATGAAGAAATGAGTCAAGTGAGTTCAGACAGATATCACGCTGAATAAACTGAGCTTTATAATAGCCAACATATTTATCCATGACTCTTCATACAATTTGAGTTGAACATTGGGCGTGTATATTTTTCACATTAGCACACATGTAAATTACTGGAAAAGTTGCAGTACTCAGGAGGAAAGGAAAAATTACTCTGATCTCTTAGATTTATCAGGATTTCTAGGTTATTAAAATCTGTTTCTAATCCGCAGCTGTTTGTGTCTGCGATGTTAGTCTGCATTTCCGTCATCACAACTATAATTCGATCGTCATAATATAGTGTGAAATGTATCTTTGTTCTATATGAGCTAGCTCCTTTCTGTGTATGTGAATACCATTTTGTTACCGAATGCATACCCTCTAGTATGTTTTGGACAGTAAAATATCATATGAAAGGCTTCATTATTTAGGTCTTTCTTTCTTCGAATGTCCATCAAGAAACTTAGTATTCACCTAACTTTTCCGTCGAGTGGTCAGTAATTAAGGAAAAGTTCGATCGACGGTGAAGTAACATATCCAAAAACCCACTGTCTACCTTTTCATTATTTACTTAGTTTGTTCGGTAATAATGGATTGAAACCAAGAGAAAGAGGCCACAAGTTATTCCAGCCACTTCTAACCTTCATCAGTCTGTTTGAAATCTTCCCCATAACTCATCACCACTTGTTTGACTAAAAATAGTCTAAATATCTTGTGGCTAGAAATCGAACACAACTTATGAACTATTGTCATCGGTACATAGCCTATCAGTTTCTCACATTCTTTTAAAGGACAAAGTCATGTATTTTAGGCTGCAAAACTTTGTCTGCAAATCAAAACCATTCAACTTCGGTTTGTTAAATATTATGAATCTGAAAAATAGTCTTGGCGACAAAACACGCTGTGAGCCACTTGGATTCTTTCGTTATTGTTGCTAAGATCATTGTTTACTGAGTGTCTGCTTTCTCCTGAGGTATCCGTTTTATTTTCAAATAATAACATACCACTTGAGTAAATACCTTTTTCATTGTTAAATGCAGTTCACAGTGTAAGATTTATCACTTATCAATTAATACGGCCGTGTAGAACAAACCACCCTTTTCAGTCACGTCCTGATTTGGATAAATTCACTTTGTCATCAAGGTGAGAGGCCTAACACTTTCACATGCAGTGACTACAAAATAAGATAGAGTTACGTATATATTTTTATTTGTATTCATAATCTTTCAAAAGCGCGCGGTAGCCTCAGGTTTACAGATAGATTTTGGTGCTGGGTAACAGTCAAGTTTCCAGACATTCAATTACCACTCATTGGACGTTCGGTGTAAGATAAAGCTACCTCCTTTAACTAGGCTGAGCTAGTGGTAACATAAGTAACGCGCATGATATATTAGGCTGACAGTATATAAACCTGAACTCTGTTTGTGAACTGTATTCATTCCCTTCTGAAGAGTGAACAACCGGTAACGTCCCATGATACGCAATAAAGTCAAAATGTCTAAACATCTGACTGTTACCTGCAGTGAACAGTAATTGGCCCATCGTATTTATATTGTTCTTTTATTTTATGTACATGTCCAATTAAATCAATAATACTTTCACCAGTTTGTGGTATTCCTTGTTCACTCCATCGAATGTATTGTAACTGCCTTATTGTTCTTGATTCACCATCACGTGCATCAGTTACTTTAAATTCTCTTAAAACATGACTAGACATTGTGTACTGAGCTGTTAAATCAACTACAAAAAATTGATAACGTGCTGGTTTCTCTTCAGGCCAATATGTGAAACATTTTTCCTACGGAATGAAAAGAAAATATAAAGAGAAGAACAGAATAATTACTACTATACTTGGAGTATAATTGCCTAAAAATTGTGACATTGAATTCCTATTAAACACATATACAGAAAAGAACATGAAATGGATCTCCAGCTTGTGCAAACGGAATTTACATTAAACCTAAAGATTAGTGTAAAAACGGTAGAGACCACTGTCGTAGTTTAAGTACTTTAGGCGAAAGGTATATACCTCAATACTGCATGATTATTTCTCCGCTTAATATCTTACAGTTATATAACTCAAAAGATTTTTGGAGGAAACGTTTTGCTGTTTCTGTCGATTAGTTCGTTCTACAGGAAGGGTGATCATTGGTTCCTAGTTCAGACGATGAAACATGCCAATTGAGTCATAAAGAAAAGAAGAGATAATTTAGCGAAGAAAATCTTTTTCGACGATATCATTTTCTGGAACTGTACAGTAGTATTTACATATGTCACAAATGTATAACAGTCTATTATTAAACGATAGTGCATAATTGCATTATTAAGCTATTGCTTAAAGACGAAATCAAAAATCAAAAGCTGTTGTGTAATAATCTTTTATGCAATGGAAATAACGAGGGGGTCAAGGAGTTTGACCAAGTGAAAATGCTTGGTAGATGAGATATGCAAATATTGAGTGTCCACTTGACAGCAAATAGATAGATGTAAAGAAGATAAAGAATGAGAAAAGGGTCATAATGAAGGTGATAATAATAAACTGACTGGTGATAATAATATCGAAAAGTGTGAAGGTGTTAAGACCATGGTAAGATTTGAGACTGAACATGCTTCTTTTGGACACAGAGATCAGGCTTGAATTGATGAATTGCCTGTGCTTCCGCTGTGCACAACTGCCGAAGGGATACTCCATTTGAACTATTCCATTTGACACCATAAATGACACTGAAGGAGGATTCTGGTTGAGATTTATGTCCAGAGTTGACTAAATGTTCAAGAATTGAACTGTTAATTAGTTTACATTCTCTCCTCGACAACCATGCAGCATAGTGCTCTGAGATACGTTTGGAAAGTGTACGCTTTGTGTGGCCTATATAGCTAGCTCCACAGGAGCGAGTAACGCACTCCGGAATGAGTCGTTGACTAGAGAAGCTGATCTGTAGCTTCAAAGAGAAGAATGTCTTCTTCAGTGATCTGGACAGCCGATTCTTCAGGAACTGATGCAGTCTCATCTTTGAAACCAACGTTCATAAACAAAGTCTCCTTAGGAACTGTGAGTACCTGCTTCGTATTCTGATTTAATTTCAAATTCTTATTAATATATCTGCATGGTTACCCATTTTGCATGAGGACCTTCGTAGTTTATCTAATTCTTCGTCGATAGTATCACTATTAGCATCACAATTCTCCTGGTTCTTGAAGATAAAGGATGAATTAGATTCTTCTTGCTGCTAAGAAGCATCCAGCTATGGAGATTCAAATTTTGTCCACTCCACGTAGGATTCCTATAAATTGATCGCTGAAGAGAATCATCTGGTCTCCGTTTTAATAAAACATCAAGGAAATAGAATTCCGAGTTCTCTTTAAATTCTGTTGTGAAGTTGATAGATGGGTCACAATCACTGAAATTTTTAACTACACTTCCAATATCTGTACTTTGATCACATATGATAAATGTGTCATCCATATATCTTCTATATAGGTAGAAACTATCTATTGTTGAATGCAGCACACTATTCTCTAGGTTCACTATAAGGCAGTCAGCCAGCAACGGTCCGAGTGGTGACCCCATAGCAACTCCATCCTTTTGTCTGTATAGATCATTGTTGAATTTGAACTGCACGTTGAAAATACAACTTAGAAGCAATTCCTTTAAATGGTGCTTTGGGATACTCACGTGAAAATTATTATCTTCGATAAAATCATATAGAAAACGGATATTTTCCTAGTTCAGTTATTTACCTAAAAATAAATTTCTTAGATAAAAGATTTACAACCCGTATGAGAGATTTTGGATAACCAGTGACGGGTAAAACTGCGTTTTATTGAGAACAAATACTGCCAACTAAGGGATGGTATGGTAATAACAATTTTAGTGTCGACTTAATTCATAGTCATTCTATGTTATCAGTTTGAAGATATGAGATAGTCGCAGTTTGACAGACTTGTAGTGATACTGGATGATGATAGAAAGTGAAACAAAAATCTAGGCTGAGACAGCATTTGAAAGAGCGATCGCCGGGTTACCAACCCAATGGTCTTCAATCTGAACTAGAAGACCAGACTGAAGACCAGATCTTTATTTCACTTCAGTTCATTAGGGATGAGATTATCAGTGTTCTCAAATAATATCTTTACGGCCATATTCCATGAGATGGAATTGAGACTGGTAGGTAATTTTTGTCAACAGTCTGGGAAAAAAGTCCTTGTACGTCGCAAGCTAATATTACCGGTCGACAAAGATGTTTTACGACATTAGTCTGCATTATGCATCAATGGAATTTATTTGACCAAATGAAGTTGAAAAACATTTCAAGTTCTCGTAGAAACTTGGTGTAAGTCAAAGTAACTCTGGATACCCATAAATATTTTTTACATAATTCAATATCCAATAATGGAGACCGATTTATATAGTTTTAATTCTGTTCAAAGACATGCATTCTGTTGAATAGAATTGAAGTTTTAAAAGAATATATTACTCACCTTCCCACTTCTTTCACTGAACATAACATAACTATCAGACAACTATGCTTTTCCCATACCATACGCCAAAAGTCTTCTACAGTTGATACCATTGGCCCTTGACAAGCAATATATGCATTTTTCTTTAAATAACCATCTATTAAACTAGCATTTATATAATCAGATCCATCTACTCCACGTATTGGACATAGGGTTACACGATTCCAGTCAAATGGTATGATACTCACCAACCGATTCTTGTTAAAATTAACCTAAAATAGTAGTGAAGGGAGATAAAAAAGTCTATGGATAATAGTTAAATTCTAAAAAGGTAATCTCAGCGAATCCATTCTTTTAAGAATAATTTTTTTAACAAAAACTCACTAATAAGCCCCTTGATACTTTTTCACAGGTGGCTTGCGACTCATTGACTGTTTTGCGGGTTGAGTACCCCTTCCAATGTTTTTGTGTTATTAATAAGTTTTTCCGTAAACAAATAAAAAATACAGTTATTGGTGATCATCCTTAAACTCATTACGTTTAATAATGATGATACCACAGATCACGGTTTTTTTTATTGGGACATAGAGAATATTTCCAATAACTGAGCGGACAACATGGGTGAAATGAGGATATAAGTGGATGACTTTGGATATTTAAATATCAAGTCTTTTATTCATGAAGACAATCATACTTACTGAATCTATTCGTGGTGATATGTTTTGATAAAATTTTTCATACATACTCCGTCGAACAAGTCAGCAGTCGATCGGTAGAAAGCTATGCCTTGCCGAGATTTTTCTGCCGGTGTACATTAGTCAGAAAGCTGTGTATTTATTCTTGAAATAATTCCTGTCTCATCAAAAATCACCACATATTTGACTGGGTACTCAAGTGAAAACCTACTAATGTACTTCAGTTATGCTAACAGTGCAACTGATTGTCATAATCCGATTTTACTCAAATAAGGTACATTCATAAAATGGTCATAGTTGATATGTGGTTAATGTGATAATCTGTTTGAAGCTTGCATCAAATTCTAACCTATGTTTTATAATCAAGATGTATTGTCTCTTGAACTTATTTTTTCTGTCTGAGTGACCTTTCAGGTATCAAAAATGTTGATTGTCCACTGTTACAAATTTGTCAATAGTATCTGAACTTCAAATATCTGATTATGGTCTAATGATAGCTTGACCATAACCTTGCAAACATCTTAAATGAAATATTCGCGCACACCTAGGCATGCATATCACTATATTTGTTTGCTAGTGTTAGGACATTATTTTAGAGGAATATTTTATTTGTGCCCTTGTCTGTCTAGTACAAAATTATTCACACGGAAAGCACTTTTATTTCAGTCTGTTTATTAGAAGTCACACAATGAAACAGTATTATTGACTGAATAACGTTTCGGACACTAATTATTTTCCAAATTCATATTAGGTAACTTCATAACTTAGAATAAAAGAGCACGAAACTTAGCTAAAACAAGAATAATAGATCCAATAAGATAAATTTGGAGGAAACCGGGCTATAGATATGCATCCAATTGCACAAAGTCACATATTGGGGTGGAATAGAACGACAGGATTAAGAACTAACTTAGATGGGATGAGGGAGAGATTGAAAACCGAATCCTTGTTCATTGAACTAACACTAAATATATGCGATAAGACTGATTCTGTACCTGCCAAACCCTGCTACCCTTTTCACAAAGAAGAGAGAATCAGAACTATATAAACCATGTATGAAAGCGGTGAATCTATTTAATGTGAATATAGACAATAAATAATATCTGAAACGTTATCTAGTTAACAATACTGTCCGACTGTACGACAATTCTGATAAATAAACCAAAATGGAATGGTAGCCTACCACAAAAGACAAGAATGACTTTTACTGAAAGCCAGAGAGAAATAAACTTCGAAAATGGTCTTTCTGAATGCACAATTCAGGTTTCTGGCCGCTTAAGCCACGTTGAGCAGGCATTGCTGAGTTACGCTTAGTATTTTCTTTGGAATACGATGTGTGACACTGAAAGCTTTATTAGCATCTTTTTGTTGCCCTATGTCTACTTGATGTGCTAAGAACAAACCTTTCATTACTTTCACCTCGCCTTTTTCGAACAAAGTCGTTAAATGATCTAGTACCTGGAGACCTACCTGCGCAATTGTCTGCCCTATGTAGCTTCTTCCATACAAGCAGTTAAACTGATATATCTGCAAAACGAACGGCTAAGATTAGGTGGACTGTCTTTTAGTCTCGCATTGAGTATTGGTCGGCTACTGAAGGATATGCAAGACCAACTTGAATAAATGTCCTATTGATTGCTCTAGGTAAGTGGCATGAAGCGATGTCACTTAGAGTGCCTCGATTTATAGTCACGGAATCAAAGACTTCTTCTCCACCGCCATCAGCTCTCTTTTAGGATCACTGTAATTATTGTTAACTTTCATTATTCTTCCGGGTACCCATTCTCAATAAGAATATAACGGATACATAGTGGTTCTTCTTCGAACACTTAGTAACAAATCGATCTGACTCTAAATGTCAGGCATCTGATTATGTTATGTTTGTACTTCATTGGAATGAAAGTGAGAAATTCCGTTAACTGGACCTCAGACGTCAGTTTTCCAAATATACTTTTCAGTATGGAGCCATCTTCTTTTCCTGCCATTTGTAGGTACAGAAAATGTTACGAATCAGTGGTTTTATTTTGATATTTTAAATTAAACAGATGGATGAGTGCTTATGAAGTGATTCAGAATAAGGTTAATTCATACGCACATATCCAAAACAGAAAAGTATCATCCGTATATCGACAGTACAAGCTCATATAGTCACTTTGATCTTTCAAAGTAGCATTTCCCAATTTCACTAGGAATATGTTTGGAAGTATTGGGCCTAACGGAAATCTCATAGCCTTTCATCAACTTGTCTTTACAGATTACTATTAAAAATGAACAGGATATTCGTTGTGCATTTTAGCAATACTCGAAGAGCTGCAAGCAAAAACTAACAAGTTGATAGAAAAGGCAGCGAAAAAGGGACTTCAAGTGAATGTACAGAAGACGGAGGTGATGAAGAAACCCAACCAACAACAACAAGCAATAATCGCTATCAACGGGAGAAACCTAAAGGAAGTAGTCTCTCCCACCTTTCTAACTAGGCAGCATCGTTTCAACTGCAGGTGGAAAGACGAGAATGTCAAAACTAGAATCAGATAAGCGAGACAGGCTTTCATTAATCTGAAATCAGTATGAAGATCTACAGCACTCAAAACAAAGAACAAGATCTGTATTTCAACACTAATTCAGTCAAGTCAGTGCTGCTATGTGATGGTTCAGAAACTTGGCGCGTCACAAAACCATTTACAACAAACTACAGACATTCATCAACAGCTACCACCTACGCTCACTCGATACTGAAGATGGCGATCAGATGGCCAGAATAATAAGAATAAGTAACAAGGAACTCTGGCAACGAACCAACCAAGAACCCATTTCTCAACAGGTATGCAGAAAAAAGTGGAGATGGATCAGGCATTCACTAAGAAGGCCAATTGGGGACACAACGCGTCAGGCCAGGCCCTCGAGTGAAATCCGAAGGCGAAACGACGAGTTGGGTCACCAAGGTGGGAGTGACATAGAGGAGATCATGTGAGGAAGAAGTGAAAGCTTTTGGGTACTTATGTCTCCAGGTTTGAAGACTGTAGAGAAAGAGTGCAGTGGAGGAGTGCTTTTGAATCCCTATGTTCCACTAGGAACCCAAGGGAAAAAGAACTAATAATAATACTGTTTCACTGTGCGTTATATATCAAATCAGCAAATCTAGTATGGAATTATAATTTGTTCTGGTGAAACGTGTAATCTGAATCCGCCTTTGCAAAAACGAACATAAAGTATAATGATTTAAGTACTACTTCCTTTCTAAAGTCTTCTTGAAACTGGATCATTTTATTCGTCTATCCTCCTGATGGATAATGAGTATGTCTACTAGGAGTAAATATTCATCTCTTGTTCCAGTTAACACGATGAGAGCCCTTAAAATCTTTTATATCTCAAGTGATACCTACTGCATTAATGATATTCAACGAGTTCCTGAAGTATAATGCTCGACTCACTGAAGCCAAAACGTCGGTTAATTCTAATAATGAATGTGTTCTAAACGAAAGAAATTCAAAATTATGTTGAAGATGTTAACGTCACAACAAGATTTATCCAGTTCTAAAGCACTAAAACGAGTTGAGGTTAGTCAGCTGGGCTTTTTAAAAGTACACTTCAAGTGGGGAAAAATTTTTCACAGAGGAAATTCACGGTTAATGATCTGTAACAGTTGTTGTCTGTGTTTTTTTAATTACGTCAAAAGGCGGAAGAGGGTGAAGATAAAGTGACTGAAACTGGTCAGATCTCTAGAAAATCATGAACCAGATACGAATTTTCCTTCAAACCCAAGTGTTATCTTTAGGTCTTAAATTCTGTGGCTATAGATCCAATATTGACCAGGTAGATATATAGTTCAAAACCAGGTATTCACAAACAAAGGAATTTCTTTCGTCTTCTGAAAATGAAGTAATCAGGACTACACTAGTTGGTAGTTGCAAGCAGTACAAAAATATCAGTTTGTTGATGAAACAACTGCAAGAAGCTCTACCTTAGGCATGGAAAGACCAAAACCTTATTATGAGCAAACCAGATAAATAAGGTGTATTTTTGTTGAACAGAAGCGACTACGTTGATAAAATAACTCCTCTTCTAAATAATCAGGCAAAATTCCGAAGACCCAATAACTCTCCAGACTGAAATAGAAAAGCAGAGTTACATATGATAAAGACCTTCAAGGAAATACTACTAAGTTGCACAATTTCTGAGTTTATGTAAGACTTATTTAGGCCCCCATGAAGTAAAACACCAACGTTTTACGGTCTACCTTAAGTACACAAATCTAAACTCCCTCTTCGTCCAGTTTTAGACAATTCTAACGCTTCACAGCATGCAGTTGCAAAGTGGGTAGTAAACATCTTAGACCATTTACAAAAGAAGTAGTTTGCGATAGCGTAAAAGGCGTTTACGGTTTCATTTCTAAGCCAGGTAGAGTGAATGTAAACAGTAAACGTATGACATCGCCTGGCGTCTCATCACTATTAGCTAGTAGTGTTTGTATATCAACAAATATGGGAAATGCAAATCAATAACAGGACTTCAGTATACACTGTCAATGAGTTGGTTGAACTATGAATGTACGCTCTTCTTCTAACAGCACACATTAAAGAGAGATTAATGGGATAGCTATAAATTCACCACTTGACCCTATTTTAACTGGTATATTTCTTGCCAATCTACAGAACTGAGTTTTGAAAGATATTATTAGAGAGATGAATCAGTATCCTCAATATGTTGATAACATATTCATATCTTGAATCAGAATATAGATTGAAGCAAATTGTTGGAAAGATATAAATGAGTGTGAACTATACTTCTTGGATGTCTTGCTTAGCAGAAGAGTTAGTTTGCTCATAAGACGTGTGTACAGAAAGACTCCATCTATAAGTCAGTATAGATATTTTCTTCACAATATAACCATGTGGTACAAAACAAATCCATTTCAATGGCTTACTAGCAGAGCCAGAAGAATATGTTCTGAAATTCAATATGTGAGGAAATAGAATATATCCCAAACTCTTTGATCAAAATAGGTTATCATAGCAGCCCCACAAAATAAGCATAAGCAAATCCAGAGGAAATAGATCTCAATTCATTACCATTTAAAAGAAACCACTGTTCATAAAACTGCAGTTAGTGGAGGTGTAGTCAGAGAAGTTCTATACCGGAGGCTGTTTATTATTTTCAAGCGTACTAGCTGTTACTGCTGATACGAAAAATAAGTAACCTTGTTTTTTATGCTCCTGTAAAGAAATTTATATGTAGCGTAGTACTATACAAGTTAACAGACGTGTTGCTCAACATCTACATTTATTGTTAGGAAAAGGACAAATAAAATCCATCATCTCATCTAGTTGATAGTGGTCACTTGGTATATAAGAAGAATACATCCAAAATTATGTACAGCAAACCATCTAATCTTTTCAAAGGTATTCAAACTCGTTTTCCAGGCAGCAAAAGCTATATCCAGAAGAAAGTTGTGTATCTTTTATCTCTCCCTTGACCAGAGAGTGGTTAAAAGGAGTTAGGGAGTGTTCTATCCCTCCATGTTCTTCACCTCTTTTACATGTTTACCATATTTGTTTTGACTTTATCTACTCACTCCGTCCCTTAGTGTTAAGCAACTCATCTTTTTCCACTGAACATGCTGATCTGTATTAACTTGCATTTCAGTGTATATTACGAGTAAGTTTAGGACTAGTTTCTTCAAAGTGCATTACAGATTTCATGATAAAGAAGGCTTTTTTAATGTTTGAAATTGTCTGACTGTTCATTCAAAACTCTTGTTCAGACCAATATCACTAAGTTAGTTCTATAAGAAATTTGAACATAATATCCATAGCAGACATGTAAGCAGGATAGCAAAAGGTCAAGCTTTAGAAAATACCTACTAAAAGCTTCTAATTGTTTCACCATAAATGTTTCTACCCTACTGTAATAATTATCAGAATAATTTGTTTAAATCCATGCTTGTAATTCATTGATAATCCATCATAGTGTAGACTGTTTAAAAGTTCAAATCATGTCTGAAAATTATCACCAAGGCAGTAAATGAAGTTTTGTTGCCAACTTATACTCGTAATTCTTTTGTACTAATCTAGATTTTGTTCCCATAGTGTTTTAGTCTCTTAATCCTGTTTTATTCTTTACCATCCTTCGTGTTTATTCTTCTGAAAACATCATGAAATACTGATGTAAGTATGAGATAATACCTTTGACCTATAAGCGTGAATATTATTAACAATCTTATTTATTTAGTATTTTATGTCTAGACTGGGTAAAATTGTCTCTTGTTATCGTAACACGTCTGCTTTTATTTTGGATTTGTTCAATGAATTTTTCAATCTTGACTATTTACCTCAAGTAACAAAAACACAGAACTAAGATATTCAAGCTATCATCTCAAATGGTTGTCTTTTCTTCTTTCTGTCTACAATTCATATGGTGTATGGATATAAAACTAAATGGATGCCTGCATTCCATGTGAGATGCAAATTTTTCACTGAAACTTACAAAAAGCATTGAAAATAATTGAGTTCATATTGTACAAGAGAAGATTAGAGTTAGTCAGTATTCTAGTTGAGTACTCTCTACAATTTCAGTCTGAAGGTATTGATTTGGACCACTTACAGAAATACATTAGGGTTCATCTGTTTAGCTTAAAACCAGACACAATATTTCCCCGGTATATCATCGGTAACAACCACGGATGATTATGGTTTGGATACAACCGTTAACTGAAACTGTGCTTCTTTACATACATCTTATTTGGATAAGAAAAGATGTAAAAAACCACTGGCTGCATTACTTTCAGTATGATGATTTTTCTTTCTACAGTAACAGAATACATAAATAAACACGACCCAGACTTCCACAACCCCTATTAACGTCAAAGTAATGATTAAGTGTTCTTCATGTTGACAAGAATCAAGAGATAAAAAGCACTACATTATTGTCAACTAGGATTGATAAACTTTCTGGGAAGAAGTGAATTCCTTTTACGTAATCTGACATCTACAATCCATTCAACTTTCAAAACAGTTTGTAAGTTGTATTCAAACTTTGAACTAGGTGCGGAAGATTTGAAATACGTAAAGGCAGTTCGCCCTATCCCCTTGTCAGTGTTAGTCTTTCTTGATCTACTCAAATTTATTAGGAGAGAAGTAATTACTTGAAGGGGGTAAATTTACTATGGGGAACTTATGTTCAGTTTGAAAATTATGCAAGCTTATGTTTTTGAATTCAGCTTAATTTTAGTGACTTTCAATGGCTTTTAATGCACAAGTGAAAATCTTGCAAAACAGAATAAATTTTGGTGAAGACTGTAAACCCTTATGATCACTGTCCAACGCTGGACTCGTTATCAACAATAATTGATAGATAACGTCAAAGGGATTATGAAAGGTCTCAGTGAGAAACTGTGAGTTCAAGAGTTCATTACTGGTTATCGAAATTGTGTTAAACGATAACCTAGTTGAAAACAATCCAGGACAACTGTTCCAGGGTTTACCCTTGAATACTATTCCCCGTGTGATGAAATACATCATTTATACATGGTGTTCTGTAATTGCCTAGTGGGAACAAAGGAAGTATCATAGACCATCTGGTTTCTACTGGTTATTCCATTGACATCCAACTGTGATGAAAGCTACTACAAATTTTTTATCGCAGTCTCATTATTTCTAAATGAAAAGGGAAAAATCGTTTTCTTTGGAAAAAGCCAACTTACACTTTTCTTAGCCACTTCACAGGAGACGATTGATTTAAAATCGTGTAGTGAACTCCCAGATGCTGAACGGCCTACGTTACCAGATTTCGATGTGACATAATTCAATCCCAGTGTAACATTTGGCGATAGTTTATTTATCTTACGAAATTCCAGCTGCAATCCAGTATAGCCTAAAGAATTTGTTGCTGTTCTTGTCGCCGTCCCAGTATTAGTATTCTCACTTATACTGTGCACTGATGTGTTTGGTGGTGATGAAGGAGACAGCTGACTACTAAGATTCATTGAATAATCATTCGTAATGGCTGTTTGAAGCGTCGACAAATGTTGTAAATGCGTGTAGAGATTACGTGCTGGCACTTCTGTATTCCCATCAGTGATCGATTCAAGTAATGTAGTGTAGATAAACTGGTATTGTTCTTGTGTCTCAACCATATAATTGCGTTGCATGCGTAGTTGATTGACTAATCCAAATACGTCGACCACAGACTCACATTTCATGCGTTCAAGTAAGATGTTGATTGCTATGTAAACACCTATTCAGTGCAAGTAATAGACAGAAAAAACAAACATCTCAATAAATCAAGAAAAGGAAATTGAGTAATATTTACGAATGATAATTACAATTTCTTCAGTAATATATTTGACTTAGATATGCTTTGAGATTATTTGATATTTATTTGAAAATATTCTAGATCAGTACTCAAAAGTAATGGACACTTGAGCCGAGGGACCCATCAATATGCTGTGAAATCTTAAATGTAACTTTCAGATTACCGAATTAAAGCGTAACCGATGTGGCTATCTAGTCCGTAGTGTTGAGTACAGATCAAAAATTTATCGACTACATTTTGCAGCATGGTCAATCAACGAAGTGTCACGACGTTGCTGTGCACTGAATTTTCGTGTTAGACAGTGGAATTCAGTCAATAGATAACCCCACAGATTGATTACCATCACCTAATACTTCTACGTTTGCTGGATAACATATCGAAGTCAAGTCATATGACATTATTCAAAAGATACATCTTTAATGAAGTACGTGATACTACGTACTGCACTTAGAATGTGCATTTGTGTCGTTAAATAACTGATAGTATATGCTTGCAGTAGTGAACTTATTTACTGGATCAAATTGTTCCATCTCTTTTGGCAAATCGACTCCTATGGAGATCCATTCATATTTTCTGAATATTAATTATGATTATTTACTTGTTTGTGGTTAGCGCGTTTTGTCCTATTTCAGATTCGTCCACCTAAAGAGTCCTAAAAATACGAAAGGTGAGTCCTGGATTCCTCTGCTAACCACAAATGAGTAAATTATCATGAGTAGTGACCGTGCTGAACTCATAATCTCAGCGTAGTTGAAATGTCTAGATAAATCAAATATCACAGTGATTTGAAATATCGAATAAGAAAGTGTCTTCAAAAACTGTTTCATGCCAAGTCGGTTATTTATGTTGAACTCCATCCTGCCTAAAAACTCTTTTAAATAATTATACTTCGAATATCCAAACAGTATTTTGTAAATTAAGCTTGAAATCCAACGCACTTACAACGCATCTTTCTTATCTTTAGTTCAGAGTATAATTCGAGGGTGTAATGCAAATGATAGAAATGGATTTTATTTCATCATTTTCACCAGTTAGGTTGCCTTTTACTTGGATTTTTACAATCTTATTTGAAAAGAAATAAAACTAACCAGCCAAATAACTGACTAACCAGGTAGTCTGGAATAACTTCATTTTTCAGCTTGTGTAGTCTATTAAAAATTGTGATTTTTAATATTACTACAGTCTACGGGATTGTTTTATATTATGAGTTTTGCATTTAGTTGGTAATTATAAACTCAAAAAGTGAGCATATCTTTGAAAATCTATATGCACAGTTAATCCCTCAACAATGATACAATTTTAATAGTAAAATGAAACGAAAAGAATTTCCCCTAGTAATTGACAAGTTCTACATTAGAATATTTAATCGTTCTCTGAGGTTAAGTTCTTTTAGTTAGAGCTTTTGTCGTTAAATTAAGCATCGTCTTAAGTGCTGCATCACATCCGAGGGGACTTTTCATACAAATTATAGGCATTCAAATTGGAAAGTCCTACTGGGAAGAATGCCAAGTCGATCGTTGACACCACCTTTTCTTCTTGATTAGTTTATACTTGTAGCTCTGGCTTGTCGCACATCACTTTCTTCCGCTTATCGCAAATGAAATGTTGTTTTCATCTGAACCGCTGTTTTTGATATTTAAGCCACGTCATACTATTATGCTTCCACTAACAATCAGTTTCATTTTCAGATGACTTAGTCTACTGTTACACGTTTTTCCTTATTCGTTCACTTTATTTTAAATATATATGTGTTCTTACTTTTCAGCAGTTTCTTTTCATATATATGTATGTATATATATATAAACGTCTTCTGATTTATCTTTTGACCTGTCAGCTGGTTGAAAGATCTCAGTTTGGACCTATCATTATCGGAAGCAGAATTTTAAATGGCTGGCTGCAAGACAGTGAAAATGCCTCAATACTTCAAGAAGTTTCCCTGCAGCGGCTAACCTTCTTCTGGTGTGAAGGTAACATCATCATATTCGGAGGAGAAAAACCCAACACTGTCGCATGTAAGTTGTGTAGACTTAGTATACATGTGGTTCTGCAGTCTCTTACTTCGGTCAGTAGAACTATCTTTACTACCTACCCAGAGTTTTTAGGATATTATCTCCCATAGAATATGTAACTGGCGAGCGTCAAGTTCTGTAGGACTTCTGTCACCAATCAAGTCTTTTTTAAACAACATTAAACCTCTACAACCCCCTAAATTTTTCCCTCATTTATGTTGTTTTTTCTAAATATTCTCCAATATTTTTAAGCGCACCAGCTCACAGGACGATTCAAATACATGAAATAACATGCCCAGTTTCTCAAGTTGTTCTGACCTTAGCTGACCACGACGATGAGGATGTCGTAGTAAAAACGGTTTGAGCTGAAGGAGGTACAGGACAGCCAGACGGACTAACGATGTCATCGATGTATTTACTCATTAAAGTGTGCAGTATATTATCATTTATGGCTGTGAAAGCATCCGCTAAAGAAGGTGAGCTGCAAAACTAACTTCTAAGTTTATCAAAAGTTTCCATATATGAGTGCCAATATCTTCGTCTTAGTGCACTAGAGCGGATAGTGAAGGCAAGCTACTTTGTTTCAGTTTGGAATAAACCATCTTATTGTTATCATTCTAAACAGTTTCATTAGTGCATGTTATATTTGACCCACATCATGACGAAATAATTGTTTACTGAACAGAAATTTTAGGTGATTTGGCAGACACAAGTCTACAGTCTAGAGCTCGATGATCTTACGTTTACGCATGATTTGACAACAGCAATAGGAAAGTGATTATGATCGGACTCTTGGTCACATTTTGTGACAAACTGTATTGAAATGTTACCGGTGCTGTGACTTGAACGTCGACTAAGATAGTCTAGTATGGGGTGTAAAATGAGACAAGAAACCTTCTGAGTGACTCCTAAACCTTACATGGTTTCCAAAAAATCATTCACAAAATAAAACAAACTATTTACTACTGAATGAAGTTTCTAATTTTCTTAATAGCTGCTATGATGTATAAATGTGTTGGTAGTATCAAAGATGTTTTTCTGAGAGAAACGAAAATTTAAACGCAGTTCTTGAGGAATTATTTACAATTAAGGATTAACAGCGGCCATCAGCAAGAGCGACGATATGCGTTTCATCCCATTTGGGAGTCAGCAACTAAACTTACTTGAGTCTGAATTAGTGGGGATGTTTCCACTGGGATTCTAACGCAGTTACCAACAAGTTAGACGTCAAAGTGCTATCCATTAGGGTGCTGGATCAAAAATACTACTTCCTGTATAACTTGTTCCCGTTTTCATTTAGTTGCTAGCCTGCGTGCACTCCACCTAACATAAAGGTGTTAGAGTATCAGCTTGAAGCTCTCTTTTTAAGCCTTATTTGGGCGCCAAACAGTAGAAAGTCAACGTATTTCATAAGAGCATGATTGCCTATTTCAGTCAAGAGACTACTAACCTTATTATAGTATATGCACTGACTTGAGACATTTGAATTGTCAGTTTTTAACTGCCTTTATTTCTTAATGACTGTGAAATCTACCAGTCGCTTTATCTAAGGAAGGAACGTATCATAGAGTTTAGAGAATCTACTAACAAACATGGGCTTTTCGCATAGATTCCAATTTTTAGTAGCTGAAATCGCTGAACGATTAGACGTCCCAATGAGATGCAAATATTATTGATTTGACGTCAGGTTTAACAATGGACAACAATCGTTCAACTAATATCCACTAATTTCCATCAAAATGATGCATGAAATACAGCAAAATTTGGAATATAAAAATAGGGGTTACCCTAAATAGTGTATTAATTTACCCGTTTTCCCAGTGCCACCTGAACAATGAACAACAATCGGACCACAGTCAGCTGGAGTTATTGTACCAACACGTCGAAGAAACATTAAAAATACTGTAGAATAAGTTGGTATACCTTGTTCTGGCCAACTTGTGTACTGCAAATGCCAAATCCTTCTGTGTTCACTACAAAACATCCAAGTAATAAAAGTATACATCTTGATAAATTAAGAAAAGAAAGACAACTGTATACCAGCAATATTTTGTGAGTTTTGCCAGATTAAAAGAATGTGCATCCGTATTCTATGCGAATGCTAGAATACATTATTCAGCAATTACAGAACTCAGTCATTTATCTGCAGTCACTTGATAACTATATGAATGTAAAGCGAAATGGGGAGAGAAAAAACTGAAATATAAACCTACTGGCACATAATCACTCATCAAATGGACTTCAATAAAAATAAATGTCTTCTTGGTTTATAGTGAACATTAGTTGATGTCAGTTTATGGTTTACCATATGACAAAACTCTTTAGCTGGATAAAGTGGACTATATGGCTTTAAAAATAGATTACTGGCTTGAAAACAGAAGATTTCCAGTTAAGAATCACTATTTTCACTGATATCACTCTCAGGCTTGAAAATCATTTACTAGATAGACGAAAAAAAGGTTAATTAAAGTTTTTTATTTAAATTCATTTTTCAGTTGGGAATTCTGACAATACCAGGCATCTACTCAGGAGCTCATATATCATAAGTGATCTATCACTCGTTTAATTAACTTCGAGAAATTACAAACTATGGACAGAAATTCAGTTTTCATTATAAAATTGATCAAGAGAAGAAATACATACCGTTGAGTTCGAACCTTGTGCAGTGAGCCAAACCTATCCTGTGAGGTTCTGGCAAACCTTGGAAGGTTGAGAATTGTTTGAACCCATAACCCACTGTTTGAAAGTCATCTATTCAAATCAGTGAGCTAAAGTCTCATCACTTCCATACAGTATAAAAAATAACAATAAGAAAATGACTTGTACAAGCTCAAACCATATTAAGTTATCGAGTTGTATAATGTGATATGGTTAAAGGAATTACTGAATGTAGTGAGAAATCATAAATTTACGGATGTGAATATCCGATCTGTAAGATAGTATATTATTTAAGTGAAAAGATGAAAAGAGCATAGGGTGTTAAGCTAGCAACCCTGCTCCGTAAAACCAATCTAACCACTAAAAAAACTTCAAAGCACAAAGAAAATATAAAAAAATGAAATTAACCTCATTACTCGCTGAAATCAGAGAGGCAAAATGAATTCAGTTGGTGAAAGTCTTCGGGAAGCAAATTGGCATGACATGGAATGTCTCAACAATGTTTGCACCTAGCAAGGATGCCCAGATTGTCAAAACGATGAGAAGGTATAGCATAGAAGTACTAGGAATTTGTGAGAAATCTGCAGAGGGAATCTATGTGGACTCTGCAAACTGTCAACTGGATAAGAGTCAATAATCTACTCCGTTATTTCACCCAAATGACAACCACGAGTACACTGAGTTTTGTAGTGGTTATCATGATGTCCCCAACAGCGTCGAAGGCTCTCTCTCATACAGTGGGAACCAATCTCCTCCAGTATCAGGTTCATGACAACATGATTCAACTCAAAAGGAGGAAAGTCACAATCATACAATGCTACGCTACGCTACGCGACTACAAATAATGCAGATCAAGAGAAGTAGGAAGTATTCTATAGACAGCTGCAATCATCAATGGACAAGACCTCAACCCAGATGGAGACATCAAAATTCATTCTAATGGTTGAGGTGACATGAATGGCAAACTGGGAGCAGACAACACAGGAGGAGAACTAGCCATGGGTCGAGAAGCACTCGGTGAGGTGATGAACGAGAATGTAGAATTGTTTGCAGAATTCTGTGCATTCAACGACTTGGTGATTGGAGGCGGTGTGTACAAACACAAAGATATTCACAAGGCAGCGACATGCATTTCACCAGACATCAGATAGACATACTACACTAGAAATCGGATCGACTTCATCTCAATGTGTAGAATGTGGAGACGCCGTCAGCCTACTGGACACAAGATCAGATCAAGGAGGGGAGCAGATGTATGGTCACACCATCAGACTATCTAGTTCAAGGAACCTACCTTCAAAATCAAGTTGAAAATCTCCGAAGAAGTGGGTTATAGACCACAGTTGAAGTTCAACACCCAGAACTGCAAAGGAAATCTTCACATCAGTCATCCATCAGGAAGACTGGGAGATATTGAGCAGCATCCCTGAAGAAACCAGCGTGTCGATGAACACTGGAACTCTTTGATAGAGATGTGGAAGGAAACCTACATAACTGTATTAGAAAGGAGCAAGAAGCGGTGCAGGAAATGGATCTTGATGGACATATGAAAGCTGATAGAGGAGGAAGAGCAAGGTGGTGAATGAGAAGATGAACGAGTGCAGTGCGATGTAGTGCAGTGCAAGGATGAACAAGGAAACGAGGAACTGAACACAACCTATAAAACACTACACTGGACAAAGAAGTGAAGAAGAGTGCTTACAAAGACAAAAGACACTTCCACGACACATTGGCAAGTGAAGCAGAACAGGCTGCAGGTAGCAGAGACAGAGACCTAACAACATTGTATCAACTAACCAGGTTACTATCTGGGAAGAGATCGACACCGATGAAACGAATGAGAGATAATGAAAAAACCTAGTTAGCAAAAAGTGAAACAAATAAAAAAATTGGCCGACCACTTCGAAAAACTCTTGAATCGACTGCCATCACCCGCAACTCGTTAAGGAATACCAGCAGCAGCCCAGCCACAGAATTACCAGTGAACACAAGCCCTCCGACAAAAGCCGAAGTGAAATCCTGAATGCCATCCAATAAAATAGCTGAAATCTGAAAAAGCAGCAGGACCAGATAGAATTCCTCCAGAAGCACTGAAAACAGACACAGAGACAACAGCGGACATGCTCACACCACTAATGCAGATGGTTTGGAAGGAAGGGAAAGCTACCTGCAGATTGGAAGAAGGAATACCTTGTCAAACTTCCTAAGAAGGGAGACCTCATTCTTTGCAAGAAGTGGCGCGGAATCATGCCGCTGTCCACCTACACCAAGAAAAATATTAGGCCGCACCATCCTGAAGAGACTAAAGGATGCGCTGGATTCAAAACTTCTACCGGAACAGGCTGGCTGGCTGGATTCATGAATAACAAGTCATCTGCGGATCAAATCGCAAGGCTGAGCTACGCACCATCATAGAACAGAGCGTAGAGTTGAAGTTAACTCTCCACCGCAAGTTCATCGACTTTGAAAAGACCCTCGACAGCGTTGATCGAAACGTAATTTTGAAACTGCTTCAACTCCAAGGAGTACCACAAATATTTATCAATCTCATTCAACAGCTGTATGACGATGCCATATGAGGAGTGGTTCACAATGGGAAGCTCAGTGACGCCATTGAAGTGAAGACAGGAGACATGAGTAAGACAAGGCTGCCGTCTACTATCAACGATCATCTTCTGACTGCGGTTGACTGGATCATGCAGCAAACAGCACCGATGATTTGTGTCTAATGTTGCACAAACTCGAAGATATACAGGCAGAAACCAACAAGTTGACAGAAGAGACAGCAAAGACAGGACTCCCTACAGGTGAATGTAGAGAAGACAGAGGTGATGAAGATAACCAACCAGCACTAACAACAACAAACACCAATCCCTACTAACGAGAGAAATCTAAAGGAAGTAGTCTCTTCCACCCACCTAGGCAGGCGCCATCTTTTCAACTACAGGCAGCACAGAACAGATGAGGATGTCAAAGCCAGGATCGGGAAGACAACAAGACATGTTTTCATGAACCTGAAACCAGTGAGGAGATCTACTGTACTCAGCATGAAGAACAAGATCCAGATTTTCAACACCAATTCAGTCAAGTCAGTGCTTCTGTGATGGTTCCGAAACTTGGCGCGTCACGAAAAGCATTTACAACAAACTACGGACACCCGTCAACAGCTGCCTACACTCGCTCGATAGTGAAGATGGCGATCAGATGGCCAGAAAGAATAGACAACTAGGAACTCACTCTGAGAACGAACAGACGAAACAAGAATCTATCGGTTAACAAATATGCAGAAGGAAGTGGAAATGGATTGGAAATACACTGAGGAGGCCGACTGGGGACATCACGCGCCAGGCCAGGCCAGGCGTCGAGTGGAATCCAAAAGGGGAAACGCCGAGTTGGGTGTCCGATGGGAGGGTGAAATGAAGGAGATCATGCTAGGAAGCAATGCAAGAATGTGGGCAGTTGTGGAGCCAGGTTTTGAAGACTGTAGATAAGGGAGTGCAATGGAGGAATGCTACTGAAGCGCCATATCCTACTAGGAACCCAAGGGACAAATAATAATATTATTATTATAATACATGTTCGGTTCATTACAGATCAAGCGAATGGACAAACCATTTTTCAGTGCACAATTCTGACTGGCTGTTCCTTTTTTTACGATCATTATCATCCGTCTTGTTGTTGAAATGTATGATATCTGTTGCACACGTTAACAGAAAGCTTTGATAGTCTAGTTAGGATACCGCACCACTTTAAGAAATATGTATGCATATATATTGTATAGGGCTGATCCACTTGAACTTAGTATGCGCAAATAAACAGATAATGGGGACGTGATAAAATTCTTAAAAATTTATTTATATTTATAAGTAAATGCGCAGTATCATAATGCATACTTTTAAATTCCCAAGAAGTAATGGAGGTTAAACTTTCTTTGGATGTATAACCGACTAGTGCATTACTGAATGCCTAAAGCAATAAGCAACAGTTTTCTTACACGGAAAAAGCCAAACCCTTACCAAAGGTATTTCACACCTAAGAATCAATATTAGACAAAGACAACCACTTCAACATTTCGTTAATAATTGAGTAAAATGTTTAGAAAATTTGTAGCTGGGGATGAGGATGGTTTAGTACTCTTTGAGGTTTTGCATTTTATTGTCGATAGTTAACCACCAGACCTGACGACATTCCAGTATTAAACTCATAAATAGGTGAATCATATTCAGATGCTACACGAATATTTAGGTCGTGTTCCTTCTGATCCCGAATGTTTCCCATCTGTAAGTTGTCCTTCTTGGACTTAGATTTCATTTGA